TGACTATCTGAGACACCATATTTATGAAGACACTAATTCTCTCCAAATTAAACATGTAGGGGCAATTTTGGAATATGCTGTACCAACTACCAAAAAACCAATAGCAGTCATTTTTGGGGACATGTAACTGGTTACGGGAATATTTTCCTACTATGGCTGAATTGACTATTCCACTAACGAGACTGTTACATAAAAATATACGATATAAATGGGGTAATGAACAGGCGGAAGCATTTCATAAGATAAAATCTATGGTAGGTAAACCTCTGATTTTACATCGACCTGATTTCAATAAACAATTCATTGTGCAAACTGATGCCAGTGACAGAGGCATGGTATGTGTTCTATATCAAGAAGGTCCTGATTTAGTTAAATTCATCAATTCCTATGCTAGTGCCACTTTTTCAAAAACGGAAGCCCACTATCATATTAATGAGAAGGAATGTTAAGCGTTATAGACATTATTTACAGGATAAAGCTTTCATTTTGAGAACTGACAATAGAGCCTTGTTGTGGTTACACAAGAATCTAGATGCCAACACAAAACTCACTCGTTGGTCTCTATTACTTCAAGAATTTAGTTTCACTATAGAGCACATTTCTGGCAAAACAAATGAATCACCTGATATGTTATCTCGTAATGCTAAAGAACCTCATGATTTGAACAATGATTTGGAGGAACGGCTATGCATTCCAACAGAAATAGATTAATCTAACTTGACTGCCTTAGTATTCGTTAATCAAATAAGAACTAGTTTTGATATATATTCAGGAATTGTTGAAGAACAGAGAAGATCTGCTGAAATTATTTACCAAATAAATAAATGGTATGATAGTTGTCGACGAGGTCCTAATTCCAAAAGTGAAGAAAAATTTCAACATTACTTTATTGTTCAAGATGAATTATTATGGAAAACAACTTCTAATCAAGATAGGTTGGTAGTTCCCACAATTAAAATTGTTGATGTTATACAATATCATCATGACCAAGCTCAACATCCTGAGCGTGATGAGACTGTTAGAACCATCCAACAAAAATAATATTGCAAATTTTCACAGAAATCCGTAGAAAATTATTAAAAAAATTCTTAAATATGTGCTGCGTTGAAAACTAGAGTGCAGAAGAATGCTCCACTTCATCCGCATATTCTGACAAAACCTTGGCAGATGCTAAGTATAGATATTTTGAGACCATATCCACCATCCACTAATGGACACCGATATATTTTGGTAGTAGAAGATGTTTTTTCACGTTGGATCGAAGCTCGATCTTATCGTAACGTAACTAACGATCATAATTATCATCAGATTTTTAGAAAACGAAATTTTCAGTAGATATGGAATGCCAGAAATAATTATTTCAGACGATGGCCCACAATTCATCAGTGAATCTCACCTAGAAATGGCTAAACAATACGGAATTCGTTTATCCTTCACTCCCATATATCATGCTAGAGCTAATCCAGTAGAACGCAGGAACCAGGAATTGAAAAACGTAATCAAAACCTTAGTAATCGAACAACCTAGAAGTAATTGACAGAAAGAAATATCTAAAGCATTTTTTACAATAAAAACAAGGAAAAATGCAGCTACTAATATGACTCCAAGTATGGTTCTCTTTGGATATGACCTTCCTGTACCAGGTGACTCGAATTTACCTGAACCCATTCCAATTCGATTTCAAGTTGGAGACCTTGTAAATATTCGAGATAATCGACAACGCAGACATGCATTTGCTCCTGGATGATCTGGTCCTCATCAAATTATGCAGACGGAGGACAGGGTCATCAGCCATCATCGCATCAGTGCGAACACTATATTAACTATAAGCTATAAACAGTTCATATAGGTAGGGACAGAATGATGTCACAGTTCAGCTTCAGCTTATACACATATAGCAGGAAACTTCAATAAAATCGGTTCACTGCTCATATGAGAAAGTTTGAAAAGTGACAGTGACAGTCCGTGGAAAGTCAGTATGGTTTGACTGGTTTGACAGCAACTTCCTAGCTTCATGAGCTTGACTTCACGCACTTTCTGACAAAAGGGCCAATGAGATAAAAATACGAGTCAAAAAGCAAAAATGAAACATTTTAACGCTCCATCACACATCACACACTGCTCGTCAACAGTAGAGAATGAAGCCACTGTCAGACAACCACCGTCATCTACTGTAGTCAACAGTTGAAATCTTCTTGTTCTGTTGTCTCAACAAAAAAGGTACAGGATATCATGGGTTTAAAGAAATAGTCGTACTGACGTACCGAAAGTATCCAAATGGTACCGAATTCAGTACAAAAGATAGATCATTCAGAAGCACCCCACTAAACATGATACATAACAAAAATATTTTCCAGATTTAAGTTTTGTGATATTGTTGAAACAATATTTCGATAATGCCATTCTCAAGTATCCATCATAATATTCTGAAAAAAAAAGTTTATGAAACGTTGCATCAACATTGACATCAATATCATTAGATAATTTTATGATTTATTGATTTCAGGTTTATCAGATATATCTCAGACAGAGTTTACATGTTATTTGTGCAACGTTTTCGTTTTACCACCTTATAACGTAGCTCAAATGTATACAGGATGCAGGGGTATAATATTTTTCCTTCTATGGCAAAGTAACCTCGTCAACTGTCAGAAGTCAATTCCAGCCATTTTGTTCGTGTTCTATTATGGTGAGCAGGCCAAATAGTGTGATCACTGAAAATAAAGATTTTCAGATATTCTTAGTAGTTATCAAAGTAAGTTGAGAACTGAACAAGTGTTGGACTCAAATAAATTCGGAAATAAATATGAATTGCTCGTGATAACTACTTAGATTCCAGGTTTGCTCTGCTGGAATATAGAAATGCAACCAATCTGTATCTGCATTTCATATTATGTGAAAAAGTAGGATGGATTCGTGAATACGGATTGTGTTCATATTTCACGAATTACAAAAATGATAGGTGAGTTATATATCATTGCTAGAAGAATCAAGAACATAGAATGGAATTTCAAAATAATTCGGGAAACTCCCAAAAACCCGTATAGGTATATATTTCCTATTACTTTTCAGAATTTCATGTAGTAGGAGATCACTGGGTTATGCAGAAATCATATAGCTGAGCTAGGTATGACTGGATTCATGAAGCAGAATGACTAAAATGATACTTAGAAAGATAGTAGTTAATCTGTCTCAAAATATCACTTTGTAACTGGATCATACTTATAGTCTTCCAGGAGTACGGTAAGATCAATCCATATTCAGGAATAGATCATCTTCCCTGCCTTCTTTGAAGATCATTCAGATGATTCTCTCGATGATTCCAGACAAAATAGATATAGCCTAAAAACACCTGGAAACTAATTAGAATGTTAATATACAATATTGTTGAGATGTTTTGAGTAACATGGAATATACGTTACGAAGTAAGATTGATTTAATATGATTTCTGATATATTTATAAAAAATATACCATCAGCATTGCATTGTAATATTTGGAAGAGGTACAGAGGCCTATTCCCGCAACGTATCTGTGACAGTAAGCATCTCTCTGAATAACATCACGAAGTAACAATGTAATATAACATCTATGTTCAAAGTATGTTTTCATGTTTAGTGTGACCCTGGTGTCCTCCTTCTACATACCCTTACTGTATGCACATTTCTCAACGAATCACCCTGTATGAACTCTTTTCTTTTTTTGACACGAAAAACACGACTTCAAAATTGGGTGCAATGTCGATTGAATATGCTGTGAAAAACACGGGGAATCTCTAGCTGTCGCGTTGGACATATCGAAAGCATTCGACCGTGTTTGGCACGAAGGACTCCTCCACAAACTACCATCATACGGCTTACCACCTCAGCTATGCCATCTCTTATCGAGTTTTCTTTCAGGCAGATCGCTTCACGTGGTGGTGGACGGTGTATCGTCTGATACCATAGGCATCAATTCCGGCGTTCCACAAGGATCAATTTTGGCACCAACATTATTCCTGCTTCATATCAATGACCTGTTTGGAGTGACAACTTGCCCCATCCACAGCTTTGCAGATGATAGTACCCTCCATACTGCGTTCTCTTCCAGAATTCCCATTTCTTCCCAGGAAACTAAGAACTCACGGCGCAGGCAGGTCAATGCTGTCAATGAAGATCTTGCTGAAATCACAGCCGGGGGAACAAACAACCTAGTTGAATTCAACGCCTCCAAAACTCAAGCCTGCATTTTCTCTAGAAAGGCGGAACTCAGTATGCCCGATATTGTAATGTCTGGCTCCACCATTCCCACCAAGCCCACCATATCTATGCTCGGTATTTCCATCGGCAAAACTTTTTCATGGGATAATCATGTCAGATCCATCGCAAAAGCTGCTTCACAAAAACTCGGATTCTTGTTCTGTGCGAAAAGCTACTTCACACCTCAACAGCTTCTCATGATCTACAAAGCTCAGATACGGCCTGTTCTAGAATACTGTTCCCACATATGGGGTTCAGCACCAAAACATATGCTGATGCTCTTAGATTCCATCCAGAGAAGAGCCATTCGCCTGGTGGGTGACGCCACACTCACTCACTCTTTGACATCATTGAAACACCGTAGAAAGGTCGGCGACCTTTCACTTTTCTATCGATACTTCCACGGGAAATGTTCTTCGGAAATTTCTGCTATCATCCCTTCACTAGCAATACCAATCAGACGAACTAGACAAGCCCAGTCAGCACATCCTCTCGTTGTCAACCTCGAAAGATGTCGAACAGCACTTTATCAAGACTCCTTCATTCATAGAACGGCTAGGCTCTGGAATTCATTGCCTGTGGAATTATTTCCAACAACATATAATCTCCAAAAGTTCAAAAAAATTCCAATACCTACCTCCTGTCCCTATCCTCCCTAGGAACGCACGATGTTCTTTGAACATTATAGGGATTCCCTTTCGTGCGCTCCAAGCGATAAAAAAAAAGAATGTGCCAATTGGGACTGATCTAACGACATGTTTCAGTGACGGAAGTGCTGCGCCAGGAACCGCTGCCTGCTACGAGCCATTCTCGGAGCCTTGTGGGCAGGCGGCCGCCCCCAGCCGCCCTCTTCTGCATCAGAAGCGCCGGCTACCGCCCTGGCCGCTCCGACCTGCCCACTGCGATCGCGAGTGCTCGTGCGCAATGCTCATCCGTACACTTAACGAACTACTGTTACATCAAATTCCTAGGACCTTTACTCGGTACTTTTGTACAACAATATCGATTGTTTTTGGGTGAGATATCCTGCCAAAGATATTACTTAATTAAAATAATGAATCCCTAGAGATAATAAATAATTTTTAATGGTACGATTGGGTGGGGCGGTCATTGCATTAGGGCGGTTCACTCGATAGCTGTGATGAGAATAGAGCCAGAATACAGGGTGAGGCAGCATAACTTCCTCTTTTCAGAACTTCATCAAACCCTTTGTATAAATCAGAACATTTTTATTCGTTTTTCATAATGTAGGCGCATACCCAAAGCTTTGTTCAACATAGTTTGAAAGATCAAATTAGATTGGTGACGTTCAGTCTTCTCCATATACTGTGTAAATCAATTTCTAGCGGTTGCCATGTGACTCTTGCAGAATAGCAGGAGTTAAGTTGGCGACTTCATCTTGAATGTGGGTCTCCAAATCCTGTAGGGAACTTGGACGGTTCTCATAAATACGGAATTTGAAAAAAACCCAAAAGAAAAAAATCACAAGGAGTCAAATCAAGAGAACCAGCTGGAGCACTTTCCATCAGAGCGCCTCATCCTAACTATGGGTAATTTGAAGTGGCCCCTTTCCCTGACCCCTTGTGATTTTTTTCTGTGAACAGTCCAAGGATACTACAGGATTGGAATACCCATCAACATCCTGCTCGAGATCGCCAATTTAACGCCTGCTATTCTGGCAAGACGAACGCTACAAATCGGTTTAGACATTATCAGTACTTTAGTACAATGAATTCCAAATACCTCGTAGCAGAAATGTCGAATCAACATCGATATAAAGATGATGTTCCCATATCATTATGAATATCAACTCGTTGCCAAATGCAATGTTTCGTGTTTTGTTATCGAAGTATCTAAAAAAAATGCTAAGGGAATTGCAAGGACTGCTTCTTCAGTTTCTTTTAATACCTCATACTGTAACAAAATGATCGCTCCCATAGATGACCATAGAGAAATACATTTCCTCCACCCCTACTCTGCTCAATTTGTGTTATACAAAAGTGAGAAACCAGTTATTTCTCTCCTGAATTCGAATATAAAGATATTCATGAAAGCAGAAACTCTAATGCACTTATTTCGACAGATTGGACTTTGAGAGAAAGACTAAGGTTCGGTATATCCATAATTACGTACGCCATAGCTGACGAGTTGAAAGAATCAGGGTACCAGAGAGCTTCATGCAACCGGCCCTATGTCTATTTTTGGCAAAAATAATATTTCATTTGTATGAAGTGACTTATCAGTTCATTTGGACATTAGAGATGAATGAGCGATCATAGGGTATCTTGAGATGAACAATACTTCGAGGACTTGATCGTTTTATGTCCAAATTGATATGTTCTTTCTTTTTCTGGAATAGTTATCATCCCGTTACATCTATCATAGTTAACGATCATGTATTCGATGAGACAGTTATATTTAGTGTGAATGAAAAGTTCCTTCCAGAACCATGAGTTCAAAATCACAATTAAAATCAACAAGGTGCCAAGTTAATGAATTCTACCCATCAAGATGAAAATAAATTAATTGAAAATATATTGTGTAGTGCCAAAATCTCATCAGTATAACTTGTGAGGCCGTTTATTTTCATTCCCTAGAATCGGTTAGAGATGCCAAGGATCTTGAGATTCAAATTTTAGTTGAAAGTCTGGCCAACATAGTCAGTTCACATTCCACTCATGATCAACAATTCCAACAGTAACTAATTCTTCTTAAGAAGGAATAATTGATAATGAATAACTTTCGGAAATTTAAAATTCACAAAATTCACTAAGTAACTTGCATCGATGACGGTATCAATATTCTGAAAGTAATGTTCAACTCTCATAATGTTTAGTTATTGGAATCAAATGATATCAATGATCATCTGATCTGATCTAATCAGATCTGAGTCTCAGAACTTCATTCGCTACTCCTAGAAAACATGCATGATGCATGTGACTTGTCCTCGGAGGTACAAATATATACCATATATATATGGTTACAGAATGATGTTCACTCACGAATCAATGAGAACAGATTTCATATATCATTGCATATTTCATACAACTAAATACAGATGTACTTTCAACAAAATCAGATCTCCCGTTTATAGTATCAAATTCTTGATTTTGCTCGACTTATCCCATTTCCTTGCATGAATAAAGATCTTTGATTAGAAATAAATCCACTATTGTCGAGATGATGGATATACTATGTGCTATGAATTGTGAATATTGTATTAGTAATGTGGAATCTGTTCAGATTATCATAATTTCATTCTCTTCAGTTTTTCATGATAATGAGAATCATTTTATCGAATGCATTTCTGCTAGTGAGGAATTTGGTTTCAGAAGTGAGAAATAAGATCATTGATAACTGATTCCAATGCCAATTCTATTGCGACATAGTCTTGTTCCGAACATTCTATATTCTAGAAACAGATGACAAATATGGGCGCACTCCAAATATAGGCCACAGTGTTTATTGGCTCTAGGCTCATATACCATGTGGACAGTAGCGAGTGAACTTACCCTGTGGAATTGACGCTCAACAAAATAAGAAGACCAGTCTCTGACGTCACGTGACCACCTTGTATGCGTGTGAACACCTGTTATCTCTGCAACACTCCAGACATGTCAGAAATAAGGTCATGTTCTTATCATTCGTCATATTTGAGTTGTCATCTTGTTTTCAAATCGATCATTCTGTTCGGAAGTGATCTATCATTTTCACAACTAAAAATTCGAAGAATCATTCATCGTTTTGACCAGAATGTGAGAGATTTAATTTCATTTACACTTTTTTTGATTTTACCTCATAGAAAACTCAGAGCTATTTCAGAATAATAAATTACGATTTTTTTTTCAAATTGATATGAATTTTCGACGCTTGCGTGTCGTTAATGAAGCCTGTGAGAAAAACAATGTATGTTATATTCAGAACAACCTCGATCACTTCCATCTACTGTCAATGTATGGTATTTTCCAATGAAACACATTGTATATTCAGTTGGAATAATTGAAAAATCATCGGCTTCTTGCACTCAAAATTCAGCTTATTCAAATAAAAATAATTCAACAATCACATGAATTAATTAGGCGAGACAGTTTGAATCTCCTCCGATCTTAATTCTACATGCTAGATTTTGACATTATAATAAAGATATCCATAGTAATCTTCAGAAATTGGAGTTCTTTTGAACTCTGTATGAAGATCCAAGTTGAGATGCTGCTGCTGGAACCTACAACCATATCAGATTGGTAACTATGTCAGATATAAAGTTGTACAGTTCGCATTGGAGGTGATAACTCTTATGATTAGTTTACAAAATCTATTTTGAAATAAGAATATTCGTATTTGATATTTCGTGAACTGAAATAGCTGGCAACACCAGTAGAGGGCTTATGATGTCAGAAAGTGTTTGTGCCAACGGCTATATTTGAACGTTCTATTGAATGGTAGGGTATTCGGATTGGGCTTTTTGAAGTCTCACACGGCAGTATATCTCTTCAAGCATATGCAACTTTTTTGTTATGTAACTGCTTTATGTTACTTATGTTTACATTCGAGTCAAATTCACACATTTGTCTCCTTTCCTGCTCACTATTCTAGAATCCTAGTTACACATTATTGAATACTAAATCTTCAATGAACAAATTCGAATAGGGAGTTAAACTTTCTGAACAACTATCAAAAAAGATGTGATCAATATAAATAGTGTGACTTGTTTCTGAACATATACTAAATATCAGAATTCAGCCTGACCAACGAGAGCGAGTGTCGCCAAACGCAGAAATCACTGCGTTAGAACCTCACCTTCACACGCTGCGGAAGCGGAACATCGCACCTCCGACACGTGCGCGCTTGGATCACGTGACGTCAGACGGAGGCTCTCATTGGCTGCCAGCGGCTAGGTGCGCGGTGCGCGCAAGCGATGCGCGCTGAGTAGTGCTCACACCGAACATTTAGAAGCGTCTAGCGACAGAAGGCAACAAACCAAGCGCATGGTGGGAAAACGTTCCAGCTAGCGAGAAACGACTAGTGTTGCAGCGCGGACATAGCGCGGACTGAATAACTTTTCTGTACTACAACTTCACATCTACCCGATGGCACGGTGAGCCCATACGCTCCCTTTCTCTTTTGTTCTCATGATGTCAAAAAAATACATACAGGGTGTCCCAAAATTGTTGGAAATAAGAGCTACTACGAGTAGAGGAGGTCAAAATAAGTTGACCGGATCCAATTCATTTATGTGCCAAAATGTACCGTTTGTCCATGAGAAGGGTTCGAAGTCCACATGAAAAAACACATTTTTGTACGCTGTTCAGTATTAAGTGAAATGAATTTGATGAAATTTAGCAAGAGTGTTTCTCAGAGGATAACTTGTGTTTTCGTAATCGAAGAGACCTAACAGATAGAAGGGTTGAAATCACCCTCACCACCTGACATTTTCTCAGAACTATTTGAGGGGTCGTAATGCTGTTCTGAAATTTGTTTGGAACTTGAAGACCAATCAATCACCTTCAGTTTATTACTCCTGTGAAAATTTCGTATACCGCATAGTTTCGAGAAAAAAAAATGTTCTCTCAAATAATGCTACCAGATATTCCCAGTACAAGTTTAACTAAATTGCGATATAAAACTTGGTTGGTAGTGAGAACGAAGGCAAGCCATAATTTTGACAGAAAACAAACTTATTGTCATTCAAGTTTGTTGATGATGTTGTTTGTAAATATTTCAATAATCAGTAAAAATTAACGCTGGAAGACCCCGAGTCCGAAGACCTGATACGGAAGAAGCTGTTCTTGGAATAATCAATCACAATCTCGAAATGAGTATCAGATCTGTACAAAAAAATACTGTGAATCGAATCTGCAGAGAACAATTCATTAATTCATTTTTGTGCAAGAGTTATGACTACTTTATCACGGATCAAGTTTGAATTTGTCACGGATTGGTCGGGAGCGCAGACTACTTGACAACAGATTTCACACATATATTTTTTTTACTGATGAGTCCTGTTTCACACGTCATGGCATGACGAACCTGCACAATGAGCATGTATGTGCTGATGAAAACCCACATGCCATTAAAGCTAGACACTATCAACGAGAATTTAAAATTAATGTTTGAATCGAATTTATCGAAACATC